CAGGATTTCAGAAAGGAGGAGAGAGTAGTTGCAGTGGTGGGGTGGTCTGAGGTTTCTCCCAGTGGAGTATCTGTGCGTCGTGGTCTTGGACCTTTGGCTTTCGGTGCCTCTGCCGAGCAGTGGCGGCTCCTGAAAAAATTCTCAGGAGGGGCAATTTTTCTGATGATTTAGGTGACCTACACACATTTTAAAAAAGATATGTCCAGCAACAACATGAAGACAGGGGCAGCATATAAATCAATACCAGAAGCATTTATTGACTGATCTGGGGAGATGGATTCCAGTTTCTGTGACAGATTATAAATAATCTCTGATGCCTTTGTTATATTAGCTTTTGGTTGAATGTACTGTCGTAGTAAATATATAATGTTATAGCTTGGTCTGACTAAAATCTTGTGCATGACCCATTTTGTGTTGGGCCTTTGTATTCAATACAATGAACAAGAGTCCTATCTTGTCAGCCTTGTCAGCAGGTGGCTAAGGATAACACCCACGCCATAGGTCTCTCAGTTCTTCCAACTCACGAGTTCTTGCCCTGAGGACACACACACACACACCCACACACACACACACACACACACACACACATCATCACTGATAAACACACACACACACACACACATCATCACTGATAACAAACACACACACACACACACACACACACACACACACACTGATAACAAACACACACACACACACACAAATCCTCTTCTCTTAGGCTGAACATCTGAAGACAGAGAACCCGACTCAGAGCCAATGCAACAGTGACACTAGCCTGGAGGTGACCTCGCCCAACTCATCAGGACCAATCAGAAGATCAGAACTACTAGATTCAACCTACTTCATTTTATTGTATAAAATGTCAGCACACAATGTTTAGGGGCTCTTCTGATAAACTCCCTACGAGTTTGACGAACGGGTCCGTGCACGCGATTCCAGATATCTTTACCTCTGAATAAACTGCCTTATATTATACAATTATCCACCTTGTCCAAAAGTCTCTACTTGGTCTCCGTTCTCCAGTAAACTTGTTTTATCAACAATAGTAAGGTTCAATGACACAGAAAGCAGTTCAATGTCGGGGTACAGAGTCGCTCTCTTACCAGGATCGCGGTCCGCTCTGACCAGGGTGAAGCCGGCCGGCTCCACCTCTCTGTCCGGGACTCTGTCATCCAGCCAAGTCTCCCAGCTGTATTGGGATTCCGCTGCCAGCAGCGTTTTCATTATTTAGTCCGTTCGTAGCGGGTATGTACACGATCAACAAGATCAGTCCAAAACCGAAGATCAGTCCAAAGCAGAATGTTTGCAGAATGTTTGTAAACTAAGTCTACAAATTAAAAACATAAAATAACGCCACACTGCAGGTCGCAACATAGACGCTGCTAGCCGCCATTGTCTTAGTTACGTTCAACGTTACGTCACGTATGACGAAAGCGCGTAAGTGCATGCCCACAGACACCCATAGAGAATGTATTGAAAGCTTTGAAATGTGAAAAAAATAGATTTTACATGACAGGCTATGAGAGACTTCTGGGCGATTTTCAACCTGACTGAAATCGCCCAAAAAACGGGCGGGGCCATTTGAAGCACGACTTTAGCCTGATTTGACATTTAGTGGCTGGCAGATCAGACGTGAACACTGATAACTGCTGTTGCCGTGATATAATTGATTAGAAAAAAAATCCCTTCCTTTTCCCGTTTGGCAGTGCGTCGCCCATATCGCCCTATTGAACAAGCCGTCCCTGCTGCCGAGTCTGTCCCTGGCCACTGGGAGCGAGGTGGATGCCAGGTCACCATTATGCCCTGGAAGATGGTAATTGTTGCACTATTCTTCTGCAGTATCGACAAATGTGCCACTTATCGACGTAACAAGGGTAAGAATCTCCTCGCCCATATTAGTGTGTTCAATTGGAAATCATATACAGTTTACAGAATGTTTATATGAGCAAAGATTATGGTTAATATTGCTGTGTAATTGTAACCTGCACACATGCCATTTTAACATTTAAAATAATGTTTTGCTGCAGTGTAGCTGTCCATAAATATAATTGTTAGGAATGCTTCTCATTCCCAGATGCTATGGCTCGGAGGATCAACAGTAATTCTGCCAAAGAGCAACCATAACCATCTAAAATAATTGACACGGCTGAGAATGAGCTCATTATGGATTGGAATATGTCTCCAGTGATGGAAAGGAAGATTTAATGATCTAATTCCAGAGAAAGGACAGATTAATGATCATTATGTTGTGATAGCTGCAAAGTCCAATATCATTCCTGGTATCATATGTCAAGCTAAAGTCCTTTTACATATGCTTCTCTCTTGGCCATAGCAGGTCAGCATCGCAAACTCAGATCCAGAAGACTAACACAGAATATAGGCTTAGCATATCCCATCTCACAGAAAACTGCAATAAATAGTTATTCTAGTCATACATTTCATTCTATCCTGCTGTCCTTTATCTGTCCAGCTGTAACCTCTGATTGAGCCAAGTCATTTTCTGCTCCATTAGGGCTGAAAATTGAGATTGTAATTTCATTTTCTACTGCTGTTGAAGATTTGAGTAGACTAAAGCTGGGATAATGAGGGAATATTTGAAAAATGGTGTGAATGCACTGTATTCAGTCACTGTATCTGTAAAGCAGAAAGAAGCAGAAATTATATCATTATATCCCAGAACTCAACCCACCTTACACCAGATGGCACTAGCTGCTCTGTATTGTACCTACTTTGTGTTTTGACTGTGTTTATGAATAACAGGAGTTACACATAACTAACTAATGTTACATCCCCCCAGTATGAGTGTAAATTGGGGAATTATTGTCATTAAGTCTCAGTGTGATAACGACAGTAAGTGTGAACATCACTGATTGGTCTGTACACAGATCCAGCGGCAGTATCCACCAGCACAGCTGTAACATGCTGTACACGGCACAACAACCTGCAAGCTGTGTGGTGGGGAGCGTACTGGGATATTTTGGGAGGATCTCAGACCATCTGTGTTTGTTTGGGGTTAAAGGAGAACTGATGATGTGACATTGTAAAACATGATTTTCTCTCTAGCTGTTTGGACTAGTCTGAAGTCTTCAAGTGCACATGCTCTACAGACGGACCTTACTGATGCTAAGATACCGTAGCACTGCTTCACTTGGTTGGTTCCATAGAATTAGGAAGTTAATAGGATCTATATGGTTGGTTCACTCTGTGGCTTTCATCAGTGATAATTCATCTTTATGGTATCTCTAGTTATCATCACATACTGAGCTCTCACACAAACGTTGATCTCTTACTGTATCAAAGTAACTATGTCCTTAAGTTTAAAAGTAATACTTTGAATAGTTAATTCCAGAATTATTTGTCATAATTTAGAAGGAATAGAATGGATAGATACTTTGGACAGTATCTACATAAGACCCAATGACCCTGCATTTCTGGTTCTAATATGTATGATTAATCCACAGTCTTTGACAACTTGTATGTTTAAAGTTCCATTTCAGTATAAGTGTCAGCTACTGGGGTCAATGTTGTGCTCCAAATATGAATTGCAGCAGGAACCCAATAGGCCCTAAAGAATAAAAACCACACCACCAACAAGTTTTCAAAGCTGTCTTGAATCTGGCTGAACTAGATATTTTGTAATTTTGGTATTGGTTATTCTAGATATTGTTATGTGCTGTGTTGGGGCAACTGGATCATTCCAGAAACATGTTCTTAGATGAGTAGATTGAGGATCAATCCTGACCTCTGATCTTTTCAATCACATGGGCCACCTGCACCTGGAGGACTTTGAGCGCACTGTGTTGACCATGGTGTACATTGGCAGATTCCTTTCTCAGCTTGTACAGAGCCATCAAGCAGGACCTGACAGTCACAGCTGAGAAAAACCTCACAGCTAAATTATCTCTCTATGTTGTGGATCGATACTATACTGATAATTTATTTTATTTTACATTTTGTTTTACTTCAGTTTATTTAGTAAATATTAACTCTTTCTTGAACTGCATTGTTGGTTAAGGGCTTGTAAGTAAGCATTTCACAGCAAGGTCTACACCTGTGGTATTCGGCGCATGTGACAAATAAAATGTGATTTGATATTGTTGCCTTCATTTCCAGGTCTCCATTGATCTCCATTTCTCACAACTTTTCTATTAATCATTATAGGTAGTGTCAAGCATGATTTCATTAGCAACCTTTGTACTTACATATCACAGAATCAAAATGACAGTTTCTGAGATACACTTTAATCATATTGCAGTTTTTTGTTTGTTTTTGTTTGATTTAAAACTCTTGGAAAGGTTTATTACTAGTGCTACCCTGGACACACTTGGAAATGTAGTATGTTTACAGCTATTAAAACATTAAAGATTTTTATTTAAAAAGCAATTTTAGTAAAATTATTATACGGTTCCTATACAGTGTGTTATCAGTAAAATACAAGTTCCATCAAAAAGAAAAAAACTAACAACAATTTACAACAATTTACTTACAAAATATGTCTGGGACTGTATCGCAGTGTTGCGGCGTCACTACAGCCTGGGGTTCGATCCCAGGCTGTGTCCGGGAGTCCTATAGGATGGCGCAGCGCCGTCCGGGTTAGGGGACGCTCTAGCGACTCCTTGTGGTGGGCCGGGAGCCTGCAGGCTGACTCAGGTCGTCAGTTAAACAGTGTTTCCTCTGACATATTGGTGCAGCTGGCTTCCGGGGTAAGCAAGCGGGTGTTAAGTAGCACGGCTTGGCGGGTCATGTTTCGGAGGACGTATGACTCGACCTTCGCCTCTCCCAAGCCCGTTGGGGAGTTGCAGCGATGAGGCAAAATTGTAATCATGAAATTGGGGAGAAAAGGGGGTAAATGCCAAAATATTCCTGCCAAAAGTTCATTTAGAAAATGCATAATCAAATCTTTACAAGAAGTGAGTAGAAAATATTAGACGAAATAGAACAGAACAGGAGGTCCATGTCACAAGAGCTGCCTCTGTTATTGTTGTTGTTTTAGCCAGTGTTCATAGGGCCACTGATCTGATGATAAGCTCTGGCTTCACAGGCTGCTGCATGGTCTCCAAAGAGTCCACCTCGGTCTTGTCCTGTGAGCTGGGTGTATTTGGAGGGAGGAACGGCACATATCGAACCCAGGAGTAGGAGGAGAGACAAGAGCTGATTCCAAATGGAAGGTTGTACACCTCGCTGCTCTCCAAGGTGTTGCTGGAGTCATCAAGGGGGATCTTGTTCCAGGCTTTGATGCCCCGCTCCTGCAAGGTTCCTGTGTCGCCCAAAGCAGTGGAGATAGAATGCTTCAACTCATCCATAACAGAGACTGAGAACAGGCTATGATATTGTAGACATGAAAGAGGAGGACTAGTGTATTTTACTCTATGTGAAACAGTTGGATAGATACAGTGTTCCCCATCCTCCCATACTGGAGACGTAACATAGTAAAACCCAGGACACTCAAATGAGTGTGATATGTTACGTTTGGTATGGTACTGTATGTATGAATATGTGGATGTCCTTCATCAATTAAAATTCACATTTGTTACAAATTTCAATTAATACAATATGTTACGAATTTGCAATACGTAAGATATGTTGGAAAATGCCATTTGTTGTTGCTAACATTAGCTAGGTGGCTAATGCTAACGTTAGCTGGGTGGCTAACATTAGGGTTAGGGGTTAAGGTTAGGGTTAAGGTAAGGGTTAAGGCTAGGAGTTAGGATAAAGGTTAGAGGTAGGGTTAGCTAACATTCTAAGTAGTTGCAAATTTGCTAAAATGCTAAAGTTGTCCGTGATGAGATTTGTGTAGTTGCAAAGTAGCTAAAAAGTAGTAAGTACAGTGGGGGGAAAAAAGTATTTAGTCAGCCACCAATTGTGCAAGTTCTCCCACTTAAAAAGATGAGAGAGGCCTGTAATTTTCATCATAGGTACACGACAAATATGACAGACAAATTGAGGAAAAAAAATCCAGAAAATCACATTGTAGGATTTTTAATGAATTTATTTGCAAATTATGGTGGAAAATAAGTATTTGGTCACCTACAAACAAGCAAGATTTCTGGCTCTCACAGACCTGTAACTTCTTCTTTAAGAGGCTCCTCTGTCCTCCACTCGTTACCTGTATTAATGGCACCTGTTTGAACTTGTTATCAGTATAAAAGACACCTGTCCACAACCTCAAACAGTCACACTGCAAACTCCACTATGACCAAGACCAAAGAGCTGTCAAAGGACACCAGAAACAAAATTGTAGACCTGCACCAGGCTGGGAAGACTGAATCTGCAATAGGTAAGCAGCTTGGTTTGAAGAAATCAACTGTTGGAGCAATTATTAGGAAATGGAAGACATACAAGACCACTGATAATCTGGGCCTCCACGCAAGATCTCATCCTGTGGGGTCAAAATGATCACAAGAACGGTGAGAAAAAATCCCAGAACCACACGGGGGGGACCTAGTGAATGACCTGCAGAGAGCTGGGACCAAAGTAACAAAGCCTACCATCAGTAATACACTACGCCGCCAGGGACTCAAATCCTGCAGTGCCAGACGTGTCCCCCTGCTTAAGCCAGTACATGTCCAGGCCCGTCTGACGTTTTCTATAGTGCATTTGGATGATCCAGAAGAGGATTGGGAGAATGTCATATGGTCAGATGAAACCAAAATATAACTTTTTGGTAAAAACTCAACTCGTCGCGTTTGGAGGACAAAGAATGCTGAGTTGCATCCAAAGAACACCATACCTACTGTGAAGCATGGGGGTGGAAACATCATGCTTTGGGGCTGTTTTTCTGCAAAGGGACCAGGACGACTGATCCGTGTAAAAAACCTCCTTCCATCAGCAAGGGCATTGAAGATGAAACGTGGTTGGGTCTTTCAGCATGACAATGATCCCAAACACACCGCCCAGGCAACGAAGGAGTGGCTTCGTAAGAAGCATTTCAAGGTCCTGGAGTGGCCTAGCCAGTCTCCAGATCTCAACCCCATAGAAAATCTTTGGAGGGAGTTGAAAGTCCGGGTTGCCCAGCGACAGCCCCAAAACATCACTGCTCTAGAGGAGATCTGCATGGAGGAATGGGCCAAAATACCAGCAACAGTGTGTGAAAACCTTGTGAAGACATACAGAAAACGTTTGACCTGTGTCATTGCCAACAAAGGGTATATAACAAAGTATTGAGAAACTTTTGTTATTGACCAAATACTTATTTCCACCATAATTTGCAATAAATTCATTAAAAATCCTACAATGTGATTTTCTGAAAAAAAATTTCTCATTTTGTCTGTCATGTTGACTTGTACCTATGATGAAAAATTACAGCCTCTCTCACTTTTAAGTGGGAGAACTGCACAATTGGTGGCTGACTAAAAAGACTTTTTTTTCCCCACTGTAGTTGCAAAGTTGCTAATTAGCCATGATGAGATTCGAACATGCAACCTTTGGGTTGCTAGACTTTTATTTTTGCCATATGTAACCATTTGTCTTATGTAATCATACCAAACGTAACATATCATACTATTGATTTGATTTTTCCCGTCTATTGTCTCTGGTTAAGATTTAACCAGAGTTCCAAACGACTACTATGTGTGATACATTTTGTGTTATAAAACCACTAACTGGTTACAAGCGCCGTGTTACAGCTGAGCTACAGAGACAGTAGAAGCTTACCTGGAATGGTGTTGTCAAGGAAGAAACCCAAAGAAGGCCTCCAATAAAACCATGCCTGGGTGTCAGAAGCACCTGCAGCAGTTGGTCCAGCTCGACCACACCTGACAAAGAGAATACAGTTCATCACACTGGGCCAAGTCACATACTAGAGGAACCTCAGATCTCAGCAGCATGGCCTCCACTTGCCCTCCATGTTGTTCTTATGTTGAGCTTTTCCACCCAGCTTTTTTGTAAGGAATTGTGATTTTTTTGTCATAGTGTTTCATGCATTATCTGCTCTGATACCTGTTGCTATGGCATCCGGGTTCTTGAATATCCAATTTGGAATGACAAGCCCGGAAAACATGGAAAATCCAAAGATAAACATGTTCCGGGAGGAGTTCATGTCTGCATACTGTCAAATGATAAGTAGAGAGGAGTTGACAGAGAAAAGCAACCAAGTCATTGGGGTTGTTTTGATTCTAATAACTTTCAAAAAAATTACCAAAAACAGATTCACAGATTTCTTGCTTATTCCCTCCTGATTCCAGGAAAAAACTGTGCATTTTTAAATAGCTACCTGAATTTTGCTAAAATCCGTTAGAGTTACTAGTTACTTGTCCAACATTTTAATCTCCAACGTAACTTTTGTATTACCCAAACAGAGTAATGTAATCTGATTACTTTGAGTTACTTTTGGATTACCTTCCCCTTAAGAGGCGTTAGAAGAAGACAAATACGATACATCAAACACATTTGGTGTGTCATCATAGTGCTCTCTGAGATTCGCTCAGGTGGAACAAACTTAAACTTCTGCCTTTTTTCAATGATTAATTGAATGTCATTGAGAAAGCAATGAATTTTTTACAAACATCCTTTCTGAATTTAAAAGTAATCCAAGAAGTAATCTAGTTTTTCAAAGGTATCTGTAATCTGATTACAATATTTTTGCAGGTAATTTAACTGATTACAGTTATGTAATCAGATTACATGTAACCGATTACATGTAATCGGTTACTCCGCATCCCTGCCTACGAGTCAGACTAAAAAAGCCTTCATATGCAAAATGTCTCTATAGTGGCCATTGTACTATACAATGTGTAAATACAACTGCATTTACCTGCAGATTTGAAACTCCAGCTGCAGATATGACCCCAAACATGACCAAGAACATTCCTCCAACCACAGGTGTGGGGATGGTGGTGAAAATGGCTCCAATTTTACAGAATAGTCCCATGATGATCATCAAGACGCCACCAGCAACGATCACCATCCGACTGCCAACCTGAGAAATAAATAAATAACCATGTCTGTTGAGACTGTATACCAGCCAATAGCTAGTATACCTTCAATATTGATATGATTTATCTATATTATGCTTAAAATCATATTGCAGTCAACATCTAAAACCAGATCGTAATAATGAAAAATAGCCTCTATTCCATCTCACCTTGGTTATGCCCAATGCGCCCACATTCTCACTGTAGGAGGTGGTTCCGTTGCCCGTGCCCCAGGCCCCAGCCAGCAGACAGCCAAGCCCCTCAATGCCAATGCCCCTGTTGATGGCATGCTTGGGGGGTGGAGGGGCCCCTGATAGCCTGGCACAGGCGTGGTAGTCCCCCACCGACTCTATCATGGAGGATATCACCCCAGCCAAGATCCCTACCACTCCCGCCAGGCTCACAGTTGGTAAGCCCCACTGACCTGAGATTGGAATCAGAATCAGGGGTTCCAGTTAACATACAATACATTAGGGTATTTCTATTAATATACATATCGATAAACCATACATATTTGTTACCCATACAGCACTAAATACTAAAGGTTGGGTTAGGACCGTGATAAGCCCTGTTTTTTCTGACCATGTGACCCGACAATGTGACCGGACCAGCAAAAACTTGATTATCAGGTAATGGAGTAGTTGCTTATGATCCCACTGAGCAGCTGTGCTTTGTACCTGGGTATGGGAATCTGAACCAGGGGGCCTGGCCTATGACATCCCCCTTCAGGTCTGTGCGAGCCAGGTAGCCGTACTGCTCTGGCTCTGGGGGCAGGACGTTAGAGATGGTGAAGATGTAACAGATCAGCCATGACAGTGTGATGCCAAGGAGCACCTGAGGAAGAAGTCACACACAGTACATGCAAATATTACACCAGTCATTATCAGGACCAGGAGTTTTTCCAGACCACAGGAACTGACCAGGGAAAACTTCGGGCCCTATAAGGTCAATAAGTGAACAATGAACAGCTTTGAGTCTTATCGAGCATAGTGGATATTTTTGCGGTGTTGGAGGTGTAACTGCGGCATGAGCTGACAAATCAGTGAGTGGCTGCTCGTGTGGCACCAACCACTCCCTTCCTTATTATCCCTACCGCGTTAGAAGTTCAAAATGGCGAATGAAAGTGTAGGCTCTATCAATGATAGAATTTATGACAGGCTAATGCATGTTTTCATGTTAATTTGGATGGGGGGAATTATAGCCTATCAGTCTAATCACGGTGTAGACAATAGAACATCACGCATTTGAGTGTTTGAACTTGTGTCTTGAATTTGTCGGTTATAAAGTCGGGTGTAGCTTGTGGATTTGACAGCACATTTCCACCTCCGACTCCTCCAAAACAACCGCTATGCAGATGTCGGCTAGGGCAGATCTGATATAATTTAGCCCTTTATTTTCCAATGGATTTACAGGTAGAAGCTGGAAGATGTAGATCCTGGAGGTGTGGAGTTTCTTGGTCTTGCTGTATGTGGGGAATGGTACAGGGCATGTGTCGGAGGTCACTGGTGAGAATATCATGGATTGCCATCAGAGCAGAGTTTGCCTGTTGTAGGATAGAAAAAAACTCTGTTCACAAAGCCGCATGCGCCACTCAGGCGAGTGGTTGTCATTTAGATGGTAAGAACTCTTCAGTATGTAGCCTACAGTCAGGTCCAAAATTATTGGCACGCTTGATAACTGAGCAAAAGACTATAAAATAAATAATACAAAATGAGCTTATTGTGAAAGTTGATAATACATGAGTCAAAACAAGAACTATAAAATGGCAAAAAGACATGTGGGCTTTGGTGGTAATTGTCTACCTGGAAGTGTTCAGCGGCACACCGTGGGCAGAGGCCCTTCCCAGGTTTTTTAGCTAAAATGTATTGGTACTTCTAAGTTGCCACCCAGTGTGTGGCACAGTGTGAGAACCGTTTGCTTAAGCCCAAGTATAATCAGTCCTCTCCTGTGTCTAGTGTGGTTCAGTCTCAGGCCTCTTGTGAAGGTACAGGTGCAAACCAGTCTGAAGTAAAAGCCCTCATTTAAGCCCAGCAGAGCCAGCTAGAGCTTGTAATAAAGGAACTTGGGTCCTCAAACGCAGCGTCAAACAGTGAGCTATCCCCCAGATTCTAAAGGAATCCAGATGGTAAACCTATTTGTTTCAGGTGTGACCAGGTACTGTAGAACACATAGCACGTTCCTGTTCAGCTTCAGTACGTCCCAAAAGGGCCCAGTTAGAGAAACAAGAAGAGGTGGTCCAGTCGGGACCACTGCCGTCAGAGCGTTCAGGGTATAGCCCGGGAACGTTAAAGATATAACATGGTAATGTGAACCGATTCTTTTTAATGTTGTGCATTTAATAAAGTATTGAAGTTTTAATATTGCTGTTTTGGAAGTGAGCCAAGGTTATAATTATTGTTTGTATTTTGGAGAGAGTTGGAGAAGCCTTTCACTGCTCTCACTGGGTTATTAGTTTGTGTCCCTTGCATTAGATAGGTAGTTAGGATTTCGGTTTTCTTTGTCTAGTCCACCTGGGCAAATTATCTGGTATTCAGGCAAAAGATTTGGGATTGTCCTGGCGGGCGGACTAGTTTAATTGTCTTTATTATATGTTCGTTTGTCTACCATTTTTATTTAGTCACCACTTCCCCAGAGACCTCCAGGGCTGGCTGTATTTAGGATGGAGCGATTTAGTTCAGAGAGCAGAGGGAAGTCCCATTAATACACGTGTGCCTTTGCAGGCTAATTATCACAAGTGCTATTCTACAAAGAGTATTTTACCACGAGTGTGCTATTCTACAAAGAGTGTTTTACCACGAGTGTGCTATTGTTCAATGAGTGCTTTATCAAGAGGGTGCTATTATTTCTTGCCCTGCTGCTGACTTGTGTTCGTGTAATCCTAATATGTAATGTTGCATACAACGTTTGAAAGGTCTATCATTTTCATCAAACACAATCAAAGTTAACATAAGCCCTAGATGCCTTCAATTGCCCAACTTACAGGCATGCCCAATGTAGGTATCTTTTTTTAACAATGAGATGTTGCGCTCTAAAGGGATAATTTGGAATAACATGATGATAAATAATCGAAAGAAACATGTATAGTTATTAGCCCAATGGTTATAAGTATTTAGGCATGTCATGTGAAATAGGCCTCGTGAAATCATTGTCAAACGCACAAGAGATACTGTCGCATGTAGGTCTAGATTATTTATGGACTGATAATTTAAAAACATAAATATCACAACATTATATTAACAACTCCAAAGCAATTACATGTGGCGCAGGAACCACTGACTAACTATATTTTTGTATTTCTTTCATTAGTCCGCTGTTAATACAGTCCCAATATGTTTTGCATGTCAACAGTCAAGTTTTGAAGATTTTTGCATCATGATGTTAAAGTGCACGAATGAAAGAAATACAAATATATATTTTTTAAGTGGATTTTTACTTTAACTGGTTAGGACAGCTCTTGAGGTCTCCTAAATATCTGTCGACTAGGTGGGACGCTGATGACTAAAGAGGCTTCATGCATAGCTTTTATTTTTACCCATATGAGTAGGAGTAAAATGTCTCTCTCTCAGCACTTATGACAAATGTTCTACTCTGAGACCCTTTGTGGATATGGGCCCAGTTCAACAGTTGATGACGACAGGCTTGTGGGGAGTTCCGAGTGAAACCATACTGAGAGGTACACACATAGTTGAGATGCCCCAGTGGTTCCCTGCGCTCATTCCAGCCGAGTCATACAGGGACAGGCCAATCAGAGAGATGGTGGGAGCGATGGTGAGGGGGCCAATAAAACGCATGAAGAAACCGATGAGGCCTGAGAAACCCACCAGCACCTGGAACAAAGAGCCCACCATGATGGAGCCCTGCAGCTGTAGAGGAATACAAACACACCACATGAGCAAATACATATCAATAAACACGAGCAATACTATTTAATCCTATTTAATGTGAAACACATTCATGTGTATACAATATGTACACTACCGGTCAAATGTTTTAGAACACCTACTCATTCAAGGGTATTTCTTCATTTGTACAATTTTCTACATTGTAGAATAATAGTGAAGACATCAAAACTATGAAATAGCACACATATGGAATCATGTAGCAACCAAAAAAGTGTTAAAACAAATCAAAATATATTTTATATTTGAGATTCTTCAAATAGCCACCCTTTGCCTTGATGACAGCTTTGCACACTCTTGGCATGATCACAACCAGCTTCATGAGGTAGTCACCTGTAATGCATTTCAATTAACAGGTGTGCCTTCTTTAAAGTTAATTTGTGGAATTTATTTCCTTCTTAATGCGTTTGAGCCAATCAGTTGTGTTGTGACAAGGTAGGGGGGGTATAGAGAAGATAGCCCTATTTGGGAAAAGACCAAGTCCATATTATTTCAAGAACAGCTCAAAAAAGCAAAGATAAATAACAGTCCATCATTACCTTAACACATGAAGGTCAGTCAATATGGAACATTTCAAGAACTTGGAACGTTTCTTGAAGTGCAGTCCCAAAGACCATCAAGCGCTATGATGAAACTGGCTCTCAGGAGGACCGCCACAGGAATGGAAGAACCAGAGTTACCTCTGCTGCAGAGAATAAGTTCATTAGAGGTACCAGACTCAGAAATTGCAGCCCAAATAAATGCCTCACAGAGTTCAATTAACAGACACATCTCAACATCAACTGTTCAGAGGAGACTGTGTGAATCAGGCCTTCATGGTCGAATTGCTGCAAAGAAACCCCTACTAAAGGACACCAATAAGAAGAAGAGACTTGCTTGGGCCAAGAAACATGAGCAATGGACATTAGACCGGTGGAAATTTGTCGTTTGGTCTGGAATCCAAATTGGAGATTTATGGTTCCAACCGCCGTGTCTTTGTGACACATGGTGTGGGTGAACAGATGATCTCCGCATGTGTAGTTCCCATCGTAAAGCATGGAGGAGGAGGTGTTATGATGTGGGGGTGCTTTGCTGGTGACACTATCTGTGATTTATTTAGAATTCAAAGCATACTTAACCAGCATGGCTACCACAGCATTCTGCAGCAATATGCTATACCATCTGGTTTGGGTTTAGTGGGACTATCATTTGTTTTTCAACAGGACAATGACCCAACAAACCTCCAGGCTGTGTAAGGGCTATTTTACCAAGACAGAGGGTGATGGAGTGCTGCATCAGATGACCTGGCCTCCACAATACCCCCGACCTCAACCCAATTGAGATGGTTTGGGATGAGTCGGACCGCATAGTGAAGGAAAAACAGCCAACAAGTGCTCATCGAATGTGGGAACTCGTTCAAGACTGTTGGAAAAGCATTCCAGGTGAAGCTGGTTGAGAGAATACGAAGAGTGTGTAAAGCTGTCATCAAGGCAATGGGTGGCTATTTGAAGAATCTCAAATATAAAGTATGTTTTGATTTGTTTAACACTTTTTTGGTTACTACATGATTACATATGTGTTATTTCATAGTTTTGATGTCTTCACTTGTCACGACTTCCTCCGAAAATGCCTCCTCTCCTTGTTCGGGCAGGCTCCGGCGTTCGTCGTCACCGGCTTTCTAGCCACTGCCACTCCTCATCTCATCATTCCATTTGTTTTGTCTTGTTTTTACACACACCTGGTTCACATCCCCTCATCAGTACCTATATAAGTATTCCCTCTGCCCCCCATGTTTTTGTGTGTGATTGTTTATTGTGGAGGTGATGATAGCTCGGTGGAGGCAGGTAGCTTAGTGGTTAAGAGCGTTGTACCAGTAACCGAAAGGTCGCTGGTTCTAATCCCCGAGCCGACTAGGTGAAAAATCTGTTGATGTGCCCTTGAGCAAGGCACTTAACCCTAATTGCTCCTGTAAGTCGCTCTGGATAAGAGCGTCTGCTAAATGACCTATTTATATATTTGTATCGTCGGGATATTCACACGTGTGCTTTGTTTTCTCCAGTGCGCCATTATTACCGCACTGTAGTGTTTTACGCATTGCTGCGTACTGCTGTATTTGCCGAATAAACAATTTATTCTGTGATTTACCCTCCTGCGCCTGACTCCGTCAAAATCACCCGCTACAGAATCACACACCCAACAGCATGGAGTCAGCAGGAGCGGGGAATATGCCTGGAGTCGTAAAGCGGGTCCGGGAGCATTCCAACATGTTAGCCAGCTTGGGCGACCGGATCCACACCCCAGCACCCAGAGGTATTCACCTATCTCGACTGAGAGAATACGACGGGACAGCGGCCCGCTGCCAGGGTTTCCTCCTGCAGCTGGACCTCTATTTTTCCATCAGCCAGGCTCCATCGGAGCGGGCGAAGGTGTCCGCCCTCATCTCCTGCCTCTCGGGGAAAGCCCTGGAGTTGGCCAACGCGGTCTGGAGTGAAGGAGGAGATGATTTGGACAACTACGGGGCGTTCGCTCGCATCTTCCAGGCAGTCTTCGATCATCCCCCCGGGAAGAGAGGCGGGCGAGCGTCTGATCCATCTGAGGCAGGGGACAAGGACCGTGCAAGATTTTGCCCTGTAGTTTAGAACTCTAGCGGCTAGGTCCGGGTGGAACCAGCTGGCCCTCATCGACCACTTCCGATGCAGCCTGCGTGAGGGCGGCCGAAGGAAGCTAGCCTGCCTGGATACCACGTTGACTTTCAACCAACTGGTGGACATGGCCATCCGATTGAACAACCTGCTGGCTTCGAGAGGACGTCCTGGAAGGGGCTTGCCCGTTTCACCCACTTTCAACATTTACATTTACATTTTAGTCATTTAGCAGACGCTCTTATCCAGAGCGACTTACAGTTAGTGCATACATTATTTTTATTTTCATTTTTTTCATACCCCCCCGTGGGAATCGAACCCACAACCCTGGCGTTGCAAACACCATGCTCTACCAACTGAGCTACATCCCTGCCGGCCATTCCCTCCCCTACCCTGGACGACGCTGGACCAATTGTGCGCCGCCCCATGGGAGGAGGAACCACGTTCAACCAGGATCACGTTCTGATGGAGCTGGGTGGTGCAGCGATCTGGGAGAACGGAGGACGACAGATCCAGTGTCACTCTTGTGGCAAGAGAGGACATTCTGCTGCACACTGTCGTCAGAGTTCTTCTGGGTCTGGAGGCGGCAGGCAGGGCACTCTCTCGTCACCCCAGGTAGCGCAAACCCACACTCGTTCAGAGCCCTCTAATGTGCACTTCACCATACACGTCAACTTCCCTGATAGTACCCCAGTGTAAGGCGCTGGTCGATTCAGCCGCAGCTGGGAACTTTATGGACAGGTCTTTAGCTAATAGTCTATAGTGAGGGAAAAAAGTATTTGATCCCCTGCTGATTTTGTAAGTTTGCCCACTGACAAAGAAATGATCAGTCTATAATTTTAATGGTAGGTTAATTTGAACAGTGAGAGGCAGAATAACAACAAAAAAATCCAGAAAAATGCATTTAAAAAATGTTATAAATTGATTTGCCTTTTAATGAGGGAAGTAAGTATTTGACCCCTCTGCAAAACATGACTTAGTACTTGGTGGCAAAACCCTTGTTGGCAATCACAGAGGTTGGACTTTTCTTGTAGTTGGCCACCAGGTTTGCACACATCTCAGGAGGGATTTTGTCCCACTCCTCTTTGCAGATCTTCTCCAAGTCATTAAGGTTTCGAGGCTGACGTTTGGCAACTCGAACCTTCAGCTCCCTCCGCAGATTTTCTATGGGATTAAGGTCTGGAGACTGGGTAGGCCACTCCAGGTCCTTAATGTGCTTCTTCTTGAGCCACTCCTTTGTTGCCTTGGCCGTGTGTTTTGGGTCATTGTCATGCTGGAATACCCATCCACAACCCATTTTCAATGCCCTGGCTGAGGGAAGGAGGTTCTCACCCAAGATTTGATGGTACATTGCCCCGTCCATCGTCCCTTTGATGCGGTGAAGTTGTCCTGTCCCCTTAGCAGAAAAACACCCCCAAAGCATAATGTTTCCACCTCCATGTTTGACGGTGGGGATGGTGTTCTTGGGGTCATAGGCAGCATTCCTCCTCCTCCAAACACGGCGAGTTGAGTTGATGCCAAAGAGCTCCATTTTGGACTCATATGACCACAACACTTTCACCCAGTTCTCCTCTGAATCATTCAGATGTTCATTGGCAAACTTCAGACGGGCATGTATATGTGCTTTCTTGAGCAGGGGGACCTTGCAGGCACTGCAGGATTTCAGTCCTTCACGGTGTAGTGTGTTACAATTTTTTACATTTTTAGTCATTTAGCAGACGCTCTTATCCAGAGCAACTTACAGTTAGTGAGTGCATACATTCTTTTTTTATTTTTCATACTGGCCCCCCGTGGGAAACGAACCCACAACCCTGGCGTTGCAAACGCAATGCTCTACCATCGTCCCTGCCGGCCATTCCCTCCCCTACCCTGGATGACGCTGGGCCAATTGTGCGGCGCCCCATGGGTCTCCCGGTCACGGCCGGCTACGACAGAGCCTGGATTCGAACCAGGATCTCTAGTGGCACAGCTAGCACTGCGATGCAGTGCCTTAGACCACTGCGCCCCTCGGGAGATTGTTACCAATTGTTTTCTTGGTGACTATGGTCCCAGCTGCCTTGAGATCATTGACAAGATCCTCCCGTGTAGTTCTGGGCTGATACCTCACTGTTCTCATGATCATTGCAACTCCACAAGGTGAGATCTTGCATGGATCCCCAGGCCGAGGGAGATTGACAGGTCTTTTGTGTTTCTTCCATTTGCGAATAATGGCACCAACTGTTGTCACCTTCTCACCAAGCTGCTTGGCGATGGTCTTGTAGCCCATTCCAGCCTTGTGTAGGTCTACAATCTTGTCCCTGACATCCTTGGAGAGCTCTTTGGTCTTGGCCATGGTGGAGAGTTTGGAATCTGATTGATTGATTGCTTCTGTGGACAGGTGTCTTTTATACAGGTAACAAGCTGAGATTAGGAGCCCTCCCTTTAAGACTGTGCTCCTAATCTCAGCTCGCTACCTGTATAAGAGACACCTGGGAGCCAGAAATCCTTCTGATTGAGAGGGGTCAAATACATATTTCCTTCATTAAAATGCAAATCAATTTATAACATTTTTGACATGCATTTTTCTGGATTTTGTTGTTGTTATTCTATCTCTCACTGTTCAAATAAACCTACCATTAAAATTATAGACTGATCATTTCTTTGTCAGTGGGCAAACGTACAAAATCATCAAATACTTTTTTCCCTCACTGTATGTCAAAGCACTTGACAGTCGACCATTAGGGTCAGGTTTTGTTAGGGAGGTTACAGCACCAGTTACGATGATTATGCAAGAGACCCCTAGAGAGCAAATCACCTTTTATATTATTGAGTCCCCTGATTTCCCTGTTGTGTTGGGTCTTCCCTGGCTATCACTACACGACCCCACCTTTTACATACCAATACGTACGCTACGGTCACAAGACGCAGGCCTCCTAATTGTCCCTAGAATTTCTAAGCAAACAGCGGGAGGCAGGGCTTTCTCCTATAGATCTCCATTTTTATGGAACAGTCTGCCTACCCATGTGAGAGACGCAGACTCGGTCTCAACCTTTAAGTCTTTACTGAAGACTTATCTCTTCAGTAGGTCATATGATTGAGTGTAGTCTGGCCCAGGAGTGTGAAGGTGAACGGAAAGGCTGGAGCAACGAACAGCCCTTGCTGTCTCTGCCAGGCCGGTTCCCCTCTCCACTGGGGTTCTCTGCCTCTAACCCTGTTGCAGGGGCTGAGTCACTGGCTTGCTGGTGCTCTTTCATGCCGTCCCTGGGAGGGGTGCGTCACTTGAGTGGGTTGAGTTACTGACGTGATCTTCCTGTCTGGGTTGGCGCCCCCCCTTTGGTTTGTGCTGTGGTGGAGACCTCTGTGGGCTATACTCGGCCTTGTCTCAGGATTGTAAGTTGGTGGTTGGGGATGTCCCTCTAGTGGTGCGGGGGCTGTGCTTTGGCGGAGTGGGTGGGGTTATATCCTTCCTGTTTGGCCCTGTCCGGGGGTTTCTTCGGATGGGGCCACAGTGTCTCCGGACCGCTCCTGTCTCAGCCTCCAGTATTTATGCTGCAGTAGTTTATGTGTCGGGGGGCTGGGGTTAGTTGGTTATACCTGGAGTTCTTCTCCTGTCTTATCCAGTGTCCTGTGTGAATTTAAGTATGCTCTCTCTAATTCTCTCGTTCTCTCTTTCTCTCTGAGAACCTGAGCCCTAGGACCATACGTCAGGACTACCGGGCATGATGACACCTTGCTGTCCCCAGTCCGCCTGGCCTTGCTGCTATTCCAGTTTCAACTGTTCTGCCTGCGGCTACGAAACCCCTACCTGTCCCAGACCTGCTGTTTTCAACTCTTAATGATCGGCTATGAAAAGCCAACTGAGAGACCTGAGCCCTAGGACCATACGTCGGGACTACCGGCCGTGGTGACTCCTTGCTGTCCCCAGTCCGCCTGGCCTTGCTGCTATTCCAGTTTAAACTGTTCTGCCTGCCTTTTCAAGTTTCTTTTTCGTGAAGAAGAAAGACGGAGGTCTGCGCCCTTGCATTGATTACCGTGCACTTAATCAAACTACCATTAGCTATAGTTACCCTCTACCCCTCATCTCCTCTGTTATCGAATCAATGCATGGGGCGCGCTTCTTCACGAAATTCAATCTCAGGAGTGCGGACAACCTGTTGTTTGTCCGGGAAGGGGACGAGTGGAAGACAGCATAAAGCACAACCACGGGGCATTATGAATACCTGGTGATGCCTTACGGGTATTCCGTAATGCTCCATCAGTCTTCCAGTCCTTTGTGAATGAGGTGTTTCGGGACATGCTTGGTCGCCGTGTGGTGGTCTACATCAATGACATTCTGGTGTATTCCGCTACGCGCACCGAGCATGTGTCCCTGGTTCGCAGAGTGCTGGGCCGACTGTTGGAGCATGACCTATATGCCAAGGCAGAAAAGTTTCTGTTCTTCCAACAGTTTCGTCTCCTTCATAGGATCACCACCTCAGGTGTGGAGATGGAGAGAGACCGCATTTCAGCCGTTCGTAATTGGCCGACTCCAACCACGGTAAAGGAGGTGCAGCGCTTTATTGGCTTTGCCAATTACTATCGGAAGTTTATCCGGGGCTTTGGCAAGGTCGCAGCTCCCATCACCTCTCTGTTGAAGGGTGGGCCATCCCGGCTCCACTGGTCTGCTGAGGCTGACAGGGCTTTCAGTAACCTGAGGGCTCTGTTCACATCAGCCTCGGTACTGGCCCATCCCGATCCATCATTGCTGTTCGTAGTGGAGGTGGATGCGTCCGAGGTAGGAGTAGGCGCTGTCCTATCCCAACGCTCGGGCATGCCACCCAAGCTCCTCCCCTGTGCCTTCTTATATTTTTGTATAGCCGGGATATTCACCCATGTGCTTTGTTTTCTCCAGTGCGCCATTATTACCGCACTGTAGTGTTTTACACATTGCTGTGTACTGCTGTATTTGCTGAATAAACAATTGATTCTGTGATTTACCCTCCTCCGCCTGACTCCGTCAAAATCACCCGCTACATCACTGTTATTCTACAATGTAGAAAATAGTAAAAATTAAGAATGAGTATGGAGATGATTGTGGGCTACAGGAAAAAGAAGAGGACCGAGCACGCCCCCATTCTCATCGACGGGGCTGTAGTGGAGCAGGTTGAGAGCTTCAAGTTACTTGGTGTCCACATCACCAACAAACTAACATGGTCCAAGCACACGAGGACAGTCGTGAAGAGGGCACGACAAAACCTATTCCCCCTAAGGAGACTGAAAAATTTGCCATGGGTCCTCAGATCCTCAAAAGGTTCTACAGCTGCACCATCGAGAGCATCCTGACTGGTTGCATCACTGCCTGGTATGGCAACTGCTCAGCCTACGACCGCAAGGCACTACAGAGAGTAGTGCGTATGGCCCAGTACATCACTGGGGCCAAGCTTCCTGCCATCCAGGACCTTTATACCAGGTGGTGTCAGAGGAAGGCCCTAAAAATTGTCAAAGACTCCAGCCACCCTAGTCATAGACTGATCTCTCTGCTACTGCACGGCAAGCGGTACCGGAGCGCCAAGTCTAGGTCCAAGAGGCTTCTAAACAGCTTCTACCCCCAAGCCATAAGACTCCTGAACATCTAATCAAATGGCTACCCAGACTATTTGCATTGCCCCCCCCACTCCTCTTTTACGCTGCTGCTACTCTCTGTTTTTTAGCTATGCATAGTCACTTTAATAACTTTACCTACATGTACATATTACCCCAATTACCTCGACTAACCGGTGCCCCCGCACATTGACTCGGTACCGGTACCCCCTGTATATAGCCTCGCTATTGTTATTTTTACTGCTGCTCTTTAATTATTTGTTACTTTTATTTCGTATTATTATATATTGTATTTTCTTGTGATTTATTTTTTGGTATTCTTTCTTAAAACTGCATTGTTGGTTAAGGGCTTGTAAGTAAGCGCATGTGACAAATACATTTTGATTTGATTCAATTTTTTGATTTGTTCTAAAACGTTTGTCCGGTAGTGTAGATAGTGGAGTATCAAGAGTTATCAAGAAATGATAAAACATGGTTACATTTGCTCTCTTTCTTTCTTTACATTTACATTTTAGTCATTTAGGAGAACCTTTATGTTTAGTAATGTGTCACTCACCTCTCGCATGCGGCTCTGCCACACCTCTATGTACTCAGGAGAGGTGGTGTTGACCAGGGAAGCATTCTGGGTCCAGGCAGGGCACGTCCACTCTGGCATTGAAAGCATAGCCATGGAGGGAGCCAGCAAGGCAAAGGTACCCCCCTGAACAATGGGCAGTCTGAGGGATAGGGAGAGAGATAGATAGGGGAGGAGGGAGATAGAGGCAAATTGCAGAGATCAGATGTTCTGGCTAGAATCTTTAGACTATTACATAAGGAATTCTTCCACTTTGTAGTATAATCAGAAACAGACTTGTCTTGTGAAGCAGGAGTTGTAGGTTATGGTTGGACATCCTCTTGTTCTACGCAGATCTGGGACTAGGTTGATGCTTATTTTCCACCATAATTTGCAAATAAATTCATTAACAATCCTACAATGTGATTTTCTGGATTTCTTTTCCTCATTTTGTCTGTCATAGTTGACGTGTTCCTATGATGAAAATTACAGGCCTCTCTCATCTTTTTAAGTGGGAGAACTTGCACAATTGGTGGCTGACTAAATACTTTTTTCCCCCACTGTATTTGAATGCAGCAATTTATTTAATGGAATGAATCTGATGTATGGTTCATGAGGAGAAGATGATTGCAGATGATTTTGAGCATTAGCATTACATACAGATGTAGGATCTTAATTTGAGCCAATTTGCTACAGCAGGAAAATAAAAGAGTGATCCAATTAAGATCCTACATCTGTAAGCCATTGTGGAGTGGAGTTACAAAGTATTTAAATGGACAAATAAAATCAGATTTCCTTATTATCAATAACTCAACCAATCCTACGTTAAGAGATGTACCATGTTATTTGGACTTATGGTTCATGAGAATACGTTTTTCAAAAGGTTTTCCAAAATGTCCAAGATGGAGGAAAATTTAACCTGACGGTCCGTATGGGTCCTTAAGGCAAAACACCTACATACAATGTTTCAAGTCTCTAGGACAAACGGGGTGGCGGATATGAGGGTTTAAGTGAGGCTGCTTATTACAGCGCCACCTATAGGCCAATCAGTGCCATTCTTTTTGACCACGTTACTCATGTCCTCTAGTTTCCGTGTTCCAAATTAGAAAAAAGTTACCAGTCTATGCTTGAGTTATTTGACCATGTCAGCTTTGCTGTGAACCCCTAATTACAAATAGTAATGCAAGTCCTTTATACTACAAAATATTATGTGTATGCATTGTTTAAAGTAGTTAGGGCAAGCAAATTGTCTTGTCCCAGTAGTGACATTATCTATTATTTTGAATGCTGGAAAGTAAACAAAAGTATTTCAGATATTGAATAGATTAATAAAACAAAGAAGGCAACTACAATACCTTTTTTGTTTTACAAATAGAATGTGTCGCTTAGTTTTATGTAATTGGTGTTACCACCTTGAAAATCACTCATTAGAAGGATTTACAAGGACCTTGAGCATTCCCTGAAGTGGCAAACGGTTATTGCGGGAGGGATCTACATTAAAGAAAATTATTAGCTAATCACACATACATTTCAGGATTCCATTGCTGATATGGGGTGTCTAAATTCTAAGTGTCATTGGTGTTACTAAATTTAAATGAAGGGAAATTGCATTGTGAGCAAAATGACTAACGAAATCACATTTTGTAAATTATTTTTAAAGGCCTCAATTTAAGAAAAGCCTTAATAACCTCAAATGTGTCATTGGTGTTACCGTCGTTACTACTCCTACTGGTGGCACAATGTTATCATAATGGTAACAATTATTTAAAGTCATTAAGCTGCATATTAGTTGATTTAGAATGGGATGATGTACATTTATAGGCCATGATGTAAAAAAAAAAATTGTGTATGGGTGGTCCTCTGTAGCTCAGCTGGTAGAGCACGGCGCTTGTAACGCCAAGGTAGTGGGTTCGATCGCCGGGACCACCCATACACAAAAAAAAATTATGCATGCATGACTGTAAGTCGCTTTGGATAAAAGCGTCTGCTAAATGGCATATTATATTATATTTAAATGACAAATCTAGAAAAATGAAGTACATTTCTTCCAAAAGGCCCAAATGCCACCACAAATCAAGAACGGCCCAATAACTATACTCTTGAAAGTGTATTACCAGATTATATCAGCTCATCATGGTTTGGACATAGATGACATAGATGACATAAAAACAAACCACCACCTACAGTAATTACAGCAGTTAACCTAACCTCCACAAGCTTGACAACTACAGTGCCTTCAGAAAGTAGTCACACCCCTAGACTTTTTCCACATTTTGTTGTGTTACAAAGTGGAATCAACATGGATTTAATTGTAATTTTTTTGTCAACAATCTACACAAAATACTCTAATGTCAAAGTGGAAGAAACATTCTATCATCTTTTTTTAATGGAAAATAAAACACTAATGTATTTTGATTACGTAAGTATTAAACCCCTGAGTCAATACATGTTAGAATCACCTTTGGCAGCGATTACATCTGTGTCTTTCTGGGTAAGTCTGTAAGAGCTTTGTAAATTTGGAATGTACATAAATTGGCTCATTATTCTTTAAAAAATTATTCAAGCTCTGTCAAGTTGGGTGTTGATCATTGTTAGACAGACATTTTCAAGTCTTGCCATAGATTTTCAAACTGATTTAAGTCAAAACTGTAACTAGGCCACTCAGGAATATTAAATGTAATCTTGGTACGTAACTCCAGTGTATATTTGGCCATGCGTTTTAGGTTATTGTCCTGCTGAAAGGTGGATTTGTCTCCCAGTATCTGTTAAAAGCAGACTGAACCAGGTTTTCCACTAGGACTTTGCCTGTGCTTAGCTATATTCCTTTTCTTTTTATCCTAAAAAAAACTCCCTAGTCCTTGCAGATGACAAGCATACCCATAACATGATGCAACCACCACCATGCTTGAAAATTTGAAGAGTGGTACTCAGTGATGTGTTGTGTTGGATCTGCCCCAAACATAATGCTTTGCCACATTTTTTGCAGTATTACTTTAGTGCTTTATTGCAAACAGGATGCATATTTTTGAATATTTTTATTCTGTGCAAGCTTCCTTCTTTTCAGTCATTTAGGTTAGTATTGTGGAGTAACTACAATGTTGTTGTTAAGCCATCCTCAGGTGTCTCCTATCACAGCCATTTAACTCTGTAACTGGTTTAAAATCACCATTGGCCTCATGGTGAAATCCCTGAGCGGTTTCCGTCCTCTCCGTCAACTTAGATAGGAAGGACGCCTGTATCTTTGTAGTGACTGGGTGTATTGATACACCATCCAAAGTGTAATTAGTAACTTCACCATGCTCAAAGGGATATTCAACGTCTGTTTAAAAAAAAAAATATTTTACTCATCTACCAAAAGGTGCCCTTCTTTGCGAGGCATTGGAAAACCTCCCTTGTCTTTGTCATTGAATCTGCTTGAAATTCACTGCTCAACTGAGGGACCTCAAAGATAATTGTATGTGTGGGGTACAAAGATGGGGTAGTCATTCAAAAATCATGTTAAACACCATTATTGCACACAGAGTAAGTCCATGCAACTTACAGTATTATCTGGCTTGTTAAGCAAATCTTTACTCCCAAAGTTATTTAGACTTGCCATAACAAAGGGGTTGAATAAACAAAGGGGTTGAATACTCTTTGACTCAAGACATTTCAGCTTTTCAGCATTTTTTATTAATTTGTGCAAATATCTAAAAACATAATTCAACTTTGACATTATGGGGTATTGTGTATAGATCAGTGACACATATTTTTTGTATTAATTTAAAATTCAGGCTGTAACAACAAAATGTGGAAAAAGCCTAGGGGTGTGAATACTTTCTGAAAGCACTGTATATACTTCACCACTTCTGCAAGCATATGACCAAGCAAATCTCTTCTATTGACCCTTTGCCAATTCAGGCTCAAGGACCTAGAGTTGTGTGAGTGGGGGAGCTGAGCTCCAGTAGCAGTGCTTCAGTTAGAACTAAATGTTTTCATTTTGAGATTCAGCTCTTGATGGCTTTAATTTCACAAAGACCCAGTGCCCAGTCGAGAATATGCTATTGTATGAGGCTAATGCAGCACACTGACCTGAAAAACTGTCTCCGAAGGTCAACAGAGGCTTAGAAAGAGACATGAGAGCTCATACTATACAACCTAGTTAATCAGATGTATCAGCTAAATCAATCTAATTTACAATAAACGATAGTCTACTGCTGGATCTCCTGGAAAGCATGACAACCAAATCAGATATTGTGTTTCGCCTTAAGTAAAATTCCAGGAGATTGCCATGGATTTTATGACAATACAACAAAGAAACGCCTAGCCTCGCCTCTATGATGTCTGGCAATTCATGACTAGTAGATTCCCTTGTTGTGGGCTGCATGTTACAGTATCATGGTTGGATGGCTCCACCTTTATGTTGCCCAGGATATCTTATCAAGGTCTATCTTTATTGACCAAATAAAAGTTTGACTCCCTTGTACCTTGTTCTCCCTGCTTTTGGCCCCATTTATGTCAACAGTCACTATGTTGCTGTTGAAAAATTTGTCCAAAGCCATATCCAACCAACCATAGCTCCACTCACCTGATTCCGAAGGTGACCTGCAGCAGGGTGCACACACCTGACACAAAGAAGATGGTGCTGATGAGGTGACCCTGGGTCAGGCTGTCATGCTGCAGACACAGACCCTGAGACAGGATCAGAGGGATGGCGATTATCCCCCCAAACGCTGTCAGTAAATGCTGAGGAGAGGGAGGGATGGATGGAAGAGAGGAAGAAGAGATGCACTCATGAGGGTTAAATCCACTGAGAATAATGAGGCCAAGATGAGCAGATGAAATCACAGGTACAGGAACAGTATTTGCCATCAGCCTCAACAAAACTCACGCAGTTGAATCTCTAAGATTATATTCTTGAGGCCCTCATGTGACTTTGTGATGTTATTTTTCATTTGAGGCCAAATTCATCCTGGGAAACTAGGTTAGTTTGACTGTTCATCCAATTGATTCCATTGGCTAATCAAATCAATGGAATCCCGAGGATTACTTTTACCCATTTTTCTCCCCAATTTCATGATATCCAATTGTTACAGTTTTTTTTGTTTCCCTCGGGTTTTAAAAAAACCCCCATGGACTTGGGGAAAAAAAGCAAAGGTTTAAGGGCCCCTTTCAAAACCTCCAAAAAAAAACCGGGGCCTTTCCAAACCCGCTTTTTGGGGGCCCCCAACCCCCTTAAAAAAAAAAAACCCGGGAACCCAAAAACCCAAGGGCCGGCCCCCAATTGGTTTTGGGGAAAACCCCTTTTCCCCAGCTGGGGGGGGACCCAAAAGGGTTTTAGGGGTTGGGAGGGGGGGGCCCCCGGGGGGCTTTTCAAAAGGAAAATCCCCCCCCCCCCCCCAATAGGGGGGGGGGATGGGGGGGAAAAAGGGAAAATTTTAAAGGCCCGGCCCAAAAAACCCCCCCCTAAAAACCCCGGAAACCGGGGGGCCCTGGGCCAAAAATTTTTGCGCCGGGCCTTTAAAACGGGCTCCCGGTTTACGGGGGGGGGCTTTTGGGGGCCCCTTTTCCTTTGGGAATTTGAAACCCCCGGGTTTTTGGGAGTGAGCCAAAGGGGCTTAAACCGGGTTTCGGGGGACCGGGGGGGGCCCAAAAACCTCTTTCCAAAAACCCTTTTAAAAAAGTGAAGGGGGGGAAACCCCGGGGGGCCTCCAATTTAAAACAGGTAGGAAATTGGGGGCTTACCCGGATGCCAAAAGGGGTGTGTGCATAGGTTAAAACCCGGGTTTGGGGCGTCTGTGAAACGGGGAAGGGGCCCTTTGTTTTTTTGTTTTATTTTCCCCCCTCAGGAAAAGTTTAGGGACCTCTCCCCTTTTCTTTTCCAAACTCACAAGGGGAAACCCCCCCCAATTTAAAAATAAAAAGGGGGGGAAAAAAAGGGGAAAGGTTTTTCCCTTTTCATTTAAAGGTTTAAGGAAAAAAAAATTTTAAAAAAAAAAAAAATTTTTGGGAAAAGGAAAAAAAGGGAAAAATTAGTGTTTTTCTTTTGGGGGGAATTCCAGGGTGTTTCCCCCTCCGGTTTTTTTATTCCATTTTTCTTCTGTTTAATCCCAAATGGGCTGACTCACAGGCATAATATTACCCATAATACAGGAATAATATACCAATAATACAGGCATAATATCACTCATACTACAGGCATAATATCACCTATAACAAAAGCGTAATATCACTTATAACTAGGGTTGCAAAGCTACCAGTAATTTACCAGTTAACGGAATCTTTAGTAGTGACCCTTCGCTAGCCCCGCCCCCCCCCCTTCGTTACTGTTGCAACTTCGGACAAAAATTTTCCGGGAAGACCAATTCCCCATTCAACCACTGGCGAAATGCCTTCACAATGATGTCAACTGTGTTCACAGTAGCAAGTATTCCTGGAGCACTTTTAAATTATTTTGTCCATTTAAATATTTATTTTTGGAAGAAAACAAGCCACAGGGGCTGGGTTTTATGTGATTTAAACGGGGGGACTTTCCGAGGGGGTTTGGACTCGAAGGGGGGGGGGCAGGGGTTTCCAATTTTAATTTAAAACCCCTTCGGGGTGGTTTTTCCCCCCAAAAACAAATTTTTTGGGGGGGGGGCTTTTGCGGAAAAAGGGCCCAATTTTCCGGGTTTAAACTAGTTTATCTATGGTTTAAATTTTTGGGGTTTTTTTTCCTTAAAAAAAATTAAAAAAAAAAGTTACATTTCAAAAAAGTAATTTTATTTTTTAATTTTTGTTTCCAAAATTTTTCCAGGAATTTTTTAAGGGGGACCCGGGGCCATTGGTTTTTAAAGAAAAAAGCCCTTTTAATTTAAATTTAAAAAAAAAAAAAAATTAAATTAAAAAAAAAAAAAAATGGGGGATTATTTCGATTTAAAATCTTTTGGGGGGGCCCCTTTCCAAAAAAATTTATTTTTTTTTTTTAAACCTTTCCCCATTTTGGTTGGGCAAAAAAAAAAAACAATTTTTTCAAACCCAAAGGGCATTTGAAAAGAAAAAAAAAAAAATAAAAAATGGGTAAAAAAAAAAGTTAAAGGATTTCTTGGGGTAACCCTCATTTTTAAAAAAACCAAAAAAGGGAATTTTAAAAAAATTTATTGGGTTTTTTATTAGGAATTTTATGGGGTTTTCCCCCGCTTTGGGGTTCTTTTTTTTATTTTTTAGGGTATTTTCATGGGGATAAAAGGGCCAACCCCCAGGGGGGGGCCAGAGGGGTAAATTCCCGAAACCCTTTTTAAATTGAATTTCCCAAAAAGGGGGGCCCCCAGATTTTTTGATTAAAATTAAAATTTAAAAAAAACCTTGGGAAAATTACCAAAAAAAGGGTTTAGTTTCCCTAAATTTTTCCCCCCCGTTTGGGAACCCCTTTTCCCCCTAAAACCCAGGGATAATATTACCCCCTCAAAAAAACCCCTGGGGTAATATTTTCCCCCTAAAAAAACCCGGGAAAAATATTAACCAGGCATAATAGGCTATTATCCACAACACTTATAATACAGCAATAATATCATCCATAATAAAGGCATAATAGAACTCATAACACAGGCACGATATCACTCAAAACACAGTCATAATATCATCCATCACACAGGCATAATATCACTCATCACACAGGCATAATATTACCCATAATATAGCATAATATCACTCAAAGGGGTTTCCAATGATTTACTGAAAGTGTATTTTTGTTTGTTGACAGTCAATATTAAGACATTTTGGAAACCCATGTCACGTACAGTAGTTGTGCACCAACGCTAGCCTATCAGTGCTAGCTGAATAGATTGCCTTAGAGATGCATGTAGACTGTTGGCATGCATTAGCAGTAATACTGGCCAATAATTGGCCAATAACACGTGACTTCTAATGTTTGAATAAGACAACACTGCAGTCAATGATTTGCACCAGAGAGCCAAATAAGATAGTTATGCATAAGGGACTAGAATGTTGAGGCTCAGGTGATCGTCCCCGCTGTTCCATAAGAAAACAACACTTCTCAGCCTACTAAGAATGAGCAGCTTCATTCTGCTTCACCAGACCCATACTAGAGTACAGATTCTTTCATTAATGTGACTGTTGGGTTGAAATAGCATGCATGTAAACAAGACCCATTCAAAGGTGCTCAAGTCACTCAGTTCTTATGAATTCACTCTGACTTTTGGGAAACGATAAACTCACTATTCTAGCAAGTTTTTACAATGGTAGGCATACGCAATCTGGAAAGCACCACCTGTGTTATGCTATGGTGGTTTGGTAAGAGGAAGAGATCAATACATCACCAAGGCTGAAAATCAGTGGGAATTTGTTTCTTTGTTTGAGTTTACACATTAATCTATGTCAAAACCTATACATGTAATAGGTTGCACTTGCAAACGTATGTAGCCCTAAAAGTTTCCAGCCTTACAGCCAGTAAATGTTGATAGGTCCAATAACAACATAATCTCTACTCATAGTCACAGCAGAAAATGTCAACATAATCCTCCAGCATTGGAATAAATCTGTACATACTCACAGCAAATGCGTAGTTTTCAAGACCATTGCTTTCCTTCTCTGGAGACATGGCTCCAGTCTGGACTCAGCTAGGATGTTAGGTCCTGTGAGTTATGAGTGAATAGTCTCAACAAGAACTGTAGAGTCAAACCTTTAAGGGCACTACCTCTACCTCTCTTTCACCGTCTCTCACAATGTTGAACTATTGGAAACAATAACACAATAAGAGACATTGGAACCATAAACAATCTACTGTAGTACCCATTTGTACTGTATAATGTATTGTAGAACTGCCCCAAGTTATATACAAAAGATAGTGATGTCTACCCAATACATTACATTTCTATCCAAGTGTTAAGAAATGTCCCCTTGGTAAATAAACCTGTCCACTCACGTGACTCTGTGTTTGCCTCTAGTAGTGTCTCTGTTGGCTCTCTACTTTCACTTCAGTGATAATCACTTGAAAGATAATTATTTGATATACCTGGCCAGGTATTTAAAATATGACTGGCCACCCTTAATTGCCCCTCCCCCCATTCTCATTGGATCAGAGCGCTGTCAATCTTGCTCAGATTGGAGAGAAAAGAGTTCGGGAGCTGGCTTTAGGACCATGTGGACGCCTTGGAGCGGGCGCAAAGGCTTTGATTGACTAGATGGCTTTAGGACTGTGGAGAGCGCAGATGCAGTGAGGGAACACTGAACAGCGCGACTTCTCTCTCAGTTGAGTTGACGAAAGCAGTGAAGAGATGGAAGATGGCTAGGTGACTGCTGTTTGACTTGACAGGAAACTAAACTAGAGTTTTTGTAGGATAGCAGGAAGCTGTTCAAGCATTGGTGCAGTGTCCCTTGACCCTGATATGCTTTTAATCCCTGAGCTAGTGTGTAGTAGTGTGTAGCAGTTAAATTAGTGTGTAGCAGCTAATTGCTGTATGGCATGTGTTTGTCCTAGAATGTTATGTACAGGTAACTGCCAAAATAAAGGAAACACTTGAGTAAATGAGGGATACAAGGTATATTCAAAGCAGCAGAATTTTGCATTTTTCAAACACCTGGAATCTAGAGCCATAATGAGTATGTTTAATTCTATGTCAAAAATATGTCTGTTTTTCTGTATATCTAAGCATACCTCTTGATCTGTCTGATTCCTCATGACTGGTGGATCTTTTTTTTAAAGAAATGTAATATTCTTCTTTGCATCTCTGCTCAAATCTGGGTAAAAGATTGAAAGGAATGTGTGTCTTATTCAGTACATTTAGTTATTGCTTGTTTTTCTAAAGTCTACCAACCTTGCCAGCAGGCATGCCAGCTAAGATACAGGTAACTGCCAAAATAATGGAAGCACTTTAGTAAATGAGGTATACAAAGCATATTGAAAGCAGGTGCTTCCACACATGGTTCCTGAGTTAATTAAGCAATTAACATCCCATCATGCTTAGGGTCATGTATAAAAATGCTCGGCAGGCCATTATTTGGGCCATTACTCGGCAGGCCATTATTTGTTCTTTAAAAGTAATTTCCTCTCAATCTTAAATAGACATGCCCCATTCAAAAAATACAGAACTAAGAACAGATATAGCCCCTGGATCTCCTCAGACTTGACTGCCCTTGACCAGCACAAAAACATCCTGTGGCGTACTGCATTAGCATCAAATAGCCCCCGCGATATGCAACTTTTCAGGGAAGTTAGGAACCAATATACACAAGCAGTTAGGAAAGCAAAGGCTAACTTTTTCAAACAGAAATGTGCATCCTGTAGCACTAACTCCAAAAAGTTTTGGGACACTGTAAAGTCCATGGAAAATAAGAGCACTTCCTCCCAGCTGCCCACTGCACTGAGGCTAGGAAACACTATCACCACCGATAAATCTACAATAATCGAGAATTTCAACAAGCATTTTGCTACGGCTGGCCATGCTTTCCACCTGGCTACCACTACCCCGGCCACCAGCTCTGCACCCTCCGCTGCAACTTGCCCATGCCCCCCCCGCTTCTCCTTCACACAAATCCAGACAGCTGATGTTCTAAAAGAGCTGCAAAATCTGGACCCCTACAAATCATCTGGGCTAGACAATCTGGACCCTTTCTTTCTAAAACTAGCCGCCGAAATTGTCGCAACCCCTATTACTAGCCTGTTCAACCTCTCTTTCGTAACGTCTGAGATCCCCAGAGATTGGAAAGCTGCCGCGGTCATCCCCCTCTTCAAAGGGGGTGACACTCTAGATCCAAACTGTCATGGGTGCACTTCAGCCACGCTCAAGGTCCTAAAAGATATTATAACCGCGATCGATAATAGACAGTACTGTGCAGCCGTTTTCATTGACCTGGCCAAGGCTTTCGACTCTGTCAACCACCGCATTCTTATTGGCAGACTAAATAGCCTTGGTTTCTCAAATGACTGCCTCGCCTGGTTCACCAACTACTTCTCAGATAGAGTTCAATGTGTCAAATCGGAGGGCCTGTTGTCTGGACCTATGGCAGTCTCTATGGGGGTGCCACAGGGTTCAATTCTTGGGCCGACTCTTTTCTCTGTGTATATCAATGACGTCACTCTTGCTGCTGGTGACTCTCAGATCCACCTCTACGCAGACGACACCATTTTGTATAC